TGTGCAGAAGATAGGATAAGGGGAGGGATTAGGAATAAATGATAGGTGGGGATAAAGCCCAAAAAAGACAAGAACAGTTGGGCAAAGGAGTAGCTAACATTCCAGCTAGGAGGGTGAATAGCTATTAATGGGGACTGTTAGTGGCTAACAATAGGTTATGTGTAATGGCAGACTATGTGATAACAAGGCCTGCCCTCAACTGACCAACCCCCCTCCCAACTCCCTACCTACACTCACCTTTACTGGCTCCATCCCCGCCTCCATTGACCTGTCCGTCTTCTCTCCACCTATCTGCTCCTTTATCCATCTTCTATCATCGCCTCCCCCTCGCTCTATTTATTTCAGAGTCCCCTTCCCCATTTCTGAAGAAGGGTCCAGACCCAAAACGTCAGCTTTCCTGCTCCTCTGATGCTGCCTGGCCAGCTGTGTTCATCCAGCTCTACACCTTGTTATCTCTGGTGTGTGGGGTTGAGGTAAGGACGTGGGAGAGTTCAACCTCGAAAGTTATTGAACTCGAGGTAGAGTTCAGAAGGCTGCAGGGTCCCCAAGCAGAAAATAAGGTATCGTTCTTCCAGCTTGCACTGAGCTTCACTGGAGCACTGCAGCAAGCCTGAGACAGAGACATTGGCCAGGGAACAGGGTGGTGTGTTGAAGTGGCAGGCAACTGGGAGATCAGAGTCTTCTTTGCGGGCAGAATGTGGGTATTCTGCACAACGGTCACCCAGTCTATGCTTCGTTTCCTCAATGTTCAGGAGACCACATTGTGGGCAGCAAATGCAGTAGACTAGATTGAATGAAGTGCAGGTAAAGTGCTGCATCACCTGGAAGGTATATTTGGTCCCTAGGATACTGAAGAGAGAGGAGGTAAACGGGGAGGTGTTACAACTTCTGTGATTACAGGGGAAGGTGCCGTGGGACTCTGGGGGGCTGTTGGGAGTGCACTCGGGTGTCCTGGAGAAAATGGTTCCTGCAGAAGGCTGACAACAGAGGGGAGAGAAATGTGTGTCTGGTGGTGGCATCTTGCTGGAGCTGGTGGAAACGGCAGTAACAATCCCCTGGATGTGGATGCTCGTTGGGTGGTAGGTAAGGGCAAAGGGGACCCTATCGTTATTGCGGGAAGAGAGGGGGTGAGAGGGCCAAAAAAGCTGGTAGAATGGGTGGACAAGTCAGAGATTAATTTTAATGCAGGGAACTGTGAAGTGATATAAATCTGATAGGAAGAACTAGAAGCAATATAAAGTAAAAGGTGGCATAGTGACTCAGTGGTCAGCCCTGTTGCCTCACAGCGCCAGGGACCCGTGTTCGATTCCAGCCTCGGGCGGCTGCCTGTGTGGAGTTTGCACATTCTCCCCGTGTCTGCGTGGGTTTCCTCCAGGTGCTCCGGTTTCCTCCCACAGTCCAAAGATGTGCAGGCTAGGTGGATTGGCCATGCCAGATTGCCTGTAGTGTTCAGGGATGTGTAGATTAGGGGGATGGGTCTGAGTGGGATGCTCTGAGGGTCGGTGTGGACTTGTTGGGCCGAAGGGCTTGTTTCCACACTGTCGGGCTTCTATGATAAAATACTAAAGGTATGAAACAGAGAAAGAATTTCTTGAAAAGGTGACTAAAGTAGTTAACAGGCAATTTTCTATCAATGTTATTTAAATGGATATCTAGAAGTCATTAGATAAAGTCCCTCAGAAGAGACCACCAACTTAAGTCGGAACTTGTAGAACTGAAGGCAAATTGTTGACTTGGTTAGAAATCTGGCTGAGTGGCAGGAAACAGTCAGTGCTTCAAATGGCAGGATGTGGCTAGCCTTCTCTCACAGGGATCTCTAATGGGATTAAATCATTCACCATATTTATTCACAATTTCGATGATGGAATAGGCCACATATCAAAATGTCATTGATTCAAAGATAGGTGCTACTGTAAGTATTGCAAATAAAATGTTCTATGTTTAAAATTACAAGGAGAGAGTTTGATAAAGTAGGTAGAGAGATCTTGCTTCAACTATACAAAGCCTGGGTGAAATCACATCTGGTGTACTGAATGCACTACATTCATTCAAGTTAAACACAAAAAAAGTACAAACATAAGAGAGGGCCAATATTGCTTCCTGGAATCAGAAATTAAAACAGTTTGTTTTATTTTAAAAAGAGTACCATACTATACACATTCACAACTTCTTTCCTGATGAGCAAATAAATTCCAGAATAGCAAAACAACGTAACAGAATTAGCATGAAGAAGCTTCACATCACTCATTAAACATTACTATGAACAACAAGTATACTTGTAACTGTCACTCATACAGATAAAATTCCACATCTTTAGCACAAAACATGCACACTCATCAACCACAGGCAGTACCTCCTAAATACACCGTATAGCAACCTCTACCTATGTAATGGTTCTTTCGTAAAGACAACTTGCTGTGTAGGTGAGCTGCTTTCAAATCACTGTCTCATGGGCTCAGATTCATTATTTTTATATAACTTAGCAGGTAGGAAACCCTGACTAGCATGGCATTTTTTCATTGCCTGGCAACAAGAACTGCAGGCATTGCAGTAAGGCAGTTAGCTCACAGAAGAGTACAAAATTGAGAAAACAGGATTTTTTTTTTGTTTACAAGCTGACAGTTAGAAAGTGCATTTCCCACAAAATGTATTTACTCCAGACAAATAAAAAGTTCACCCCCATACACAAATCAAATCTTGTTTATAGACATTTGCTAAAATAGTATACTGAACTCTCATTTATTCATTATCTAAACTGTACATCAGCACCAATGCTTTACAAAATGGTGCAAACCATCCTTTGTGATTGCGATATAGGTCATGAATCATATGAAGCTGTATGTTTTACCTTGGTTAATTATTCTACTCTTAACCAGGTCACATTCTGTGTTACCGTGACCAACTTGGCTAAAGACAGACGATTTCGAAACAGCTTATAGGGTAGGAGTTGGATATGTTAACAGAAGTGTAACCGATCATTGGATTAAAAATATCTGACTTGGCTCTGTCCATTGTATCCTGGGCAATCTGAATCTGTTATAACTAATCACTGAAAGATAGTTGAAGTTAACACTATCTAATCACTTGATTAGGATTGAGTATAATTAACAAGGTGGATAAAAAAAATACAAAGGTCTGCTGATGCTGGAAATGTGAAACAAAAACAGCAAGAGCGGGAGGAACTCAGCAGGCCTGCCAGCAACTGTGGAAAGGTAGAGTTACTAGACTCAAAACTTAAACTCTGTTGCTCTCTCCACAAATGCTGCCAGACCAGCTGTACTTTTTCAGTATTGTCTTTTGTTTTATTTCAGCATCCACAGCACTTTGCAATATTTTAAGATGCTTCACTGAAGTACTTCCCTTCAACATATCAGATGTAGCATCTGATCTTGTCCAAATGCACAACCAATTCAACTAATTGATCAAGTTTTGCAATTTCTCTGTCTCTTTAGATGGAACATTATCTTTCTGTGATGACCTAGTAACTCGGATGGGATAAACATCTCAAAATTGGAATAAATTTGTCATCAATCCTGACCTACTTTGGTTACTAGTTAAAACATCAGATTTAGAAGTCACACAAGCCTGACTCCCAATTTTGAATTCTCTATTTTTAGTAACACACTCCTCAAATTGACAGTAGTATTCAAAAAGGATCTTATCTGCAAGGCCTCTTCAGTACAATTCCAACCATGCACCAAAGCCAGTTGACCTTTATCTCATATCTCATATCTCAGAATAAAGTACATATTCCCTCCAACTAAGTTTCTTCATGCTGCATCTGTTGCAAGTTCATCTTCCTGATTATTGGCAATGAAAATGTCATTTTCAGGAGGACTTCTCATAACTGTACTGTAGGCTATTTCTCTACCTAATCTATTGAAGCCTTTATAGGCTCTACTTCCACATTTACGTTTACAGGGAATACCACTAAGAGTTTTCCCTTTTACATTGTTGGCAATTCTTTCTTGAGATCATTTTCTGGACTCACTATCAGTGTTTTTAATCTTATTTTATTGCTTTCTACTTTCATCCCAGAGGAAGGGTCACCAGACCTGCAGCATTAACTCTGACTTCTCTTCAAAGATGCTGCCAGACCTGCTGAGCTTTTCCAGCAACTCCTGTTTTTGCTGCCACAGATTATACTTCTCAGCCATCACCCTGAACATTCAAACAATATTTAAACTTGCTCATGGGCTAGCCATGGAGTGTCTTTAAGACAGAAATAGATAGGTTCTCGATTAGGAAGGTGATCAAGATTATGGATAGACAGAAGGATGGGACTGAGAAACTATCAGCTGTGATCAAATGGCTGGGTAGACTTGGTGGGCTGAGTGGTCTAATTTTGCTCCTGTATCTTATGGTGTTATGATCTTATCCCACAATTGTCATACTCTTTTCAGGAAGGTATGTTACCCAAGTAGCTGCCTGGATAATTGTCCTTTGGATGTACCAGCTGTCATGGGTCCGGATCGACTATCGAACTCTTACACTGAGCCTCAGGACCAGCCCCATCACAAAATACACAGTCCTGGACTTTGTAATTATTTCAAATTAATTGCAAGAATGAACTTTGACAGATTGAATGTCTCATTTGACAACCACTCATTCTTATCAGAACAATCTAATTTGCAATGACGCTCTGTAATAAAACTTCTGAATTGAAGTTTGTTTCAGATGATCTAATGCAATGCCTCAATAAAGTGAGTAACTTGGTGACAAATGGCATTTTTCTTTCTTTATCACAAAACGTCACTAACCCTTGTATAACTCAGATGAGAAACATTTGATGGCACATCAGAATGACTGACTTGGTAAACTGCAGATTAATGGATTTCCCGAAAATAATTGCCTCATTTCATAGAAAGCTTATTCAACAGAATAGAAATCTGTGCAGCGATGCCATCAGAACTTGTAAAATAGAGAGTTAAACCATTTTGTATGGAATTACAACATCCTATTCACCTCAAAGTTCTGTAATTACTATGCATTTTACTCACCATCACTGCATTTGTACTTGCAGATCCCATCCTCTCCACCTAATAAATCCAGTGCTGCATTTAAATACATGTCAATTTTATGAATTCCGTTACGAATTGTTTTCAGCTTCCCCATCCAGTCTTTGTAGTGTGTAACTTCCGAGTAGTACCCATGACTCTTGAAAATAATTCCCACAAGCACATAGACAAGCAAATGCATGCTCAATGGAAACTCTGCACTGAAACTCTTTTCACTTCAAGTTTTTGATACAACATAAAATACTATTGTAAAGGTTCACTGGCATTGCATATCCAAATTTGAAAAATGTTCAGCAAGTGATTTCAGCACCAAGGTAATCTAGTGCGGTCAGACGGCACTGGTTACTAAACTTTTGAATGCTGTTGTAGACAGATATTCTTCTGGCAACTGCTTCAGGACTGTCATGCTGTACAAACATCAGTGTTGGTCACATGGACGAGAACAGCAAGCCAAATTGGATGAAAAATGTCACATCTGTTCGCACTGTTGTGAATCTAGAATGGGGTCGGGGGAGAAAAAGAAACAAAGAGGGCCTATGAAATCAAATTTATCCGAAATATGTTCTCTAAATTCAAAATTCAAACTTCATAACCATAAATTCTGTTATTTCATAACAGAAGCGAATGATAGTCCTTGAAGTCGAACAGATGAAATATTTGCTGTGTTGGATAATTTTGCATTCAAAAAGTATAATGTTGTAAAAACACAATACAAGGTATTGAAATTCCCTGCGCAATTACTAAAAAATAAGCAATCTACACTGGAGTTTAATTCTTCATTACAATAGCGGTGATTAAACTGACATTACTGATAAAAGATCAAAACATTACTTCAAGATAGAAACCATGCAAACATTCATAAGGGCAAGGAACAAGGGTAGGCCACTTGGCCCTTCAAACCTGCTCCACCATTAAATAAAATAACAGCTGATCTGATTTTAACCTCAACTCCACATTCCTGTATGTCCCTCATAATCTTTCATCCCCATGCATCATCAAATCACACAAAGAACAACTTGCACTGCATCTGTCTGAGGTACCACAATTACTGATAATGTACAACAAATTGGAGCATATAGATGGAGGAAAAGGAGTACACCATTCAGCCCTGAAGGCTGTTCTATCATCTTATGGGATCATGGTAATTCCAAGCAACTGCCTTGGCTCCACATCCTTTAATATCCCAAACTGGCAAAAAGTAATTTATACATGATTAATTCAATTAACACTTACTGCTTCTTGCGGGAGAGAATTCTACGACGTGCGAGAAGAAGTAGTGTTTCCCAACTTCTCTCCTGAAGAGCTTGTCTCTGATTTTAAAGATCATGCTTCCCTTTTATGCATTTGTGGGTTGCTACCTATTAAAGTTTCACTTTTAGTCCATCAATTGTTTTCTAAATCCTAAAAACTTCAATTAATTTTTTCTATATTCCAGTGGATACAAACCTAGTCTGTATCATCTCTCCTCATAAGCCAAGACTTGGAGCCCTAGTAATATCTGCAGAATCACAGATTATGACCGTGCAGAATAAAGCCATTGAGCCTATCATGTCGGCACCAGCTCTCTGAATAAGAATAGATAATCTGCACAACACACCTTCCAAAGCCAATACATCCTGAAGTGTGGTTTCTAGAACTGTATCCCAGGTGTAGTCCAACCAGAATTTAATACAACTTCATAAAACGTCCTTCCTCTTTTTTATTCAGAGGACTAGAATTCAAGGACTGACATTTCATTACCCTTTTAAATTATTTTTTGATCCTGTTCCCTACATTTAACAGTCTATGTACAGAGACAGCTATACTTCTTTGGATCTCTGCTCATTACTTTCTCACATTTACCAAACACTCAAATCTATCCTATTTTTGCTGCAGATATAAATTTTACAACAGTCATTGCTAATTTTACAATAAGCATACTGTAATAATATGTCTAGGAACGTTAACCATCATGGTTTTGAATTAAACAGTACTTTCAAAAACATAGTCTAGAAATGTCAACAAAAGCAGATACAGAAGCTTCAAAACAGGAGTAAGTCAATTTTCCCAAGTTCATTTTACAGTGTGGAATGTTCATTTTAACACTGAAGAATACCACAACTCAAATTGTGGTTCTACCCTTGCCCAGCCTGCTTCACACTGAATGATAGATGCTCACCCTAATGTTATTAGATTTTTGCTCAAGATAGAAGGACATGAAACACCTAATAAGGCAATAAAACAAAAAAGTTAAATAAACATTTGTTTCCACAACCAAAACCAATCTGCTTACTCTAGTCTGATTCTCATTTTCCCCCTCCTCCCTTAGTCAGGCCTTTCAGTCATGTTACCCCCCAACAATGTAGGCCTTGCTGCCTAAATTTATTTGTCTTTCAATACCTTAGCTCATTTTCATGTTAGTCTTTTAGGTTTATTTTTGTCAACTTGCACCTCCTCGTCCTCCTCTTGAAATACCTAGACATTTCGCTATGTCAGGGATAGAACAACAGTCTTCTGGATGTCTCTTGCCCTCTCTCATTTTTTCCCCCCAAAAGTATCAGAGCAGTCCCACATATGAATCAGAAGGCTATGGGTTCAAGCCTTCATCACAATCTAAACTGACACTTCTGTTTCACACTAAGAGGGTCCTGCACTTTTAGAGGTACTGTTTTCGGAATGAGATTTTATAACTGAGATTCGTTATCACAAGTGGATATAAAAGATTCTACTGGCCTAAAGAATGTCCTAGCTAACAATTAGCCCTCAACTAGCATTATCAATAAAAATACACAACACCAACATTACAATAAACACTTGCACCAGAAACACAAACATGATCAAATATATATCTGGCCTGTTAAACGTTCACATTTTAAGACATTGTCAAGCTCAAATCAACTTCTGTCATCTCCTACATTGAATATCCTTCAAAAGCACTTGTCTAACTTTGAAGCTATCTTTGAGGCATTTCTTAAATCCTGAAAGGGGCCATGTAAACTCAAGTTTCTTAACCTAAATCGCCATCAAAAGGAACATCATCACGTATGATGGATAAGGATCAATTTGAAGGCTGGGATGTGCCCTTGGGTATGTGTTGGAACAATTGCAAATACTTAAAACTGGAGATTGAAGGAGGGCTGAAGAGAATATTTTAAGGTTCTGAGGCCTTCAAAATAGCAACAAACGGAGCTCCTCTGCTCATTGACATTGGCTGCAGCCCACGATAGCTCAAGGCCTTAGTATAAATGATGTACAAAGAAAAGGAAACTGGAAAATTAGACCGAAAATAGCCGGTCTCCTATAGTAAAGCCACAATGCACTACTACTGCACTTCCACCCACACCCCATGAGCACTGAACACTTGCTGAAGTGGCTAGCAATACCCATCCCTATGGATATCATTATCATCAAATATACTGCTCCCTGTTCTGAATGGGAGAGATAGTTCTCACATTTGATCCCTTGTTTTCTCTGTGGACGGTCACTGGATTGCCTCTTTTCAAGAGATACTAGTTAATTTCTACACTTGACCAAAATCATCATGGGATGTTTTTAACAGGCAGTGGTTTAAAGAGCCAATGCATTTGTAAGAAACTTACATATTTGAAGACAAAGGTTACAAGGAGAGAACAGGGTGGTTGGTTCACCTCTCGTTGTTGCAGCAAAGACATAACAGACCGAGCAATTTTTGCATCAGCTTTTTGTCAGAGCTTCATAATTTTAGGTTTCAGCAAATTATTCAGTTATGGGAACCATTGCAATCATACTTCCAACTGTGTTTATTCCAATGACAGCCCTTAGCATAAACATAGCCTAAATTAATGCAGCACAATCACGTGCAAACTTTATAACTAGATCCATGAAAAACAATGTTCTAAAATTATGTTGCTGCGTTGAAAAACGATCACTTATTTATAACCTTTTTCTTGACTTTCAATCATCTCATTCCTTCCACTTCTCTCGATTGGGTCTAATCTCATCTTCGTCATTTCCTTACTAATAGTGTCATACGGCATGGAAACAGATCCTTTGGTCCGAATCACGTGCGCCAACCAGACATCCCAATCTGACCTAGTCCCATTTGCCAGCATTTGGCCCATATCCTTCTAACTTTCCTGTTCATATAACCATCCAGATGCCTTATAAATGTTGTAATAGTACCCTCCTCCACCACTTCCTCTGGCAGCTCATTCCAGACATGCACTACTCTCAGCATGAAAAAGTTGCCCCTCATGTCCTTTTTAAATATTTCCCTGTCACATTAAACCTATTCCCTCTAGTTTTGGACTCAAACACTCAAGGAAAAAGACCTTCGGATATCATCCTCTCCATGGCCCTCATGATTTTATAAACCTATATAAGGTCATCCCTCAGCATCCGACACTTTAGGGAAAAGCCACCAGCCCATCCTGGTTCTCCCTATAACTCAAACTCTCCTGTCCTGGCAATATCTTTGTAAGTATTTTCTGCACACCCTCAAGTTCAAAAACATCCATCTTCCAAGATAGGAGCACAGTAAGATGCATCAGAGGGACCTCCTCCACTTCATCCATTTGCTTTTGTTTTTTCTCCTCTTTTGTGTTTTCTTTCCCCTTCTTTTCTCTCCTCCTGGCCATGGACTCCCGGCCTTGGACTCAGCACAGAGCCAGCAGGGCGCTCTCCCAGCCTGGCAGCGTGGTCTGCCAGACTCTCGGCCTGGCGTGGACTTCTGATCTCAAGGTCGTTCCTCAAACTGTGGCTAAACACTTGAGAGACTATAATGTTTCAACTTTCAGCTTTATTTCTTTATTTTCTACTTAAAACTAAGAAGGTCTGCAATGTGTAACTTTAACTTTATTTCATACATTTTACACTATTCTATAATTACTGCAATATTTTACTTTTAACTTTGTTCTCTCTTTCTACTTTATTCTTAAGATTTTGTACGTCGGTACTTGTACCTAAGATGGTGCGTTATGTGGCAACATTATACACTTTTCACTGTACTCCTGTACTTGAGTACATGAGACAATAAAATCAAAATCAAATCATCCTTTCTAATAGCAGGGCGATCACAACTGTATGCAGTGTCCTCAACAAAGTCCTGTACAACTGCAACATGATGTCCCAATGTCTATACTCAACATTGTGACCAATGAAAGCAAGTGTGCCAAAAGCTTTCTTCACCACTCTGTTTACCTGCAACTCGAACTTGAAGGAATTATGCACCTGCACCTCTGGGTCGCTCTGTTCAGCAACACTCCCTAGAGTCGTACCATTAACTGTCCAAGTCCTATCCTGGTTTGCCTTACCAAAATGCAACACCTCACATTTATCTAAATTAAACTCATTGGCCACTCCTCAGCTCACTGGCCCAGCTGATCAAGATTACAAGTGTCTTATCAATTCAGAGAAAGCCCCTACTTGCTTGATCAGGTGCAGCCCAACACTCCTGCATCAGCTAGCAAAACCCCAAACAGATTATTTGATCATTCACTCATTAATTTACTACTTGTACAACATTTCTGTGTGCAAATGATCTGGTGTAGTAACGTAAATAATAAGTTATTGATTTTGAAAAGTAATCTATTGCTTACCAAAGTACTATGGGGCACCTCAATGATACAAAAGGCATCTTTTCTAAAAAAAAATTCTTCCATAGGATGCGTGTTACTGGCAAGCTCAGTGTTTGTTATCCATCCCTAATTGAGTGGAGTGACTGGCTAGACCACTTCAGAGAACAGTCAGCCACATTGCCGTGGATCTAGAATCTGTAGGTTGGACTGGGTGAAGATGGTGGATTTCCTTCCCTGATGGCAGTAGAGAACGAGACGAGTTTTTAATCTCAGATTCTCCAGCATCTGCAGTTCCTACTATCTTTTTACAACAATCGATAATGGTTTCATAATCGCCATTCCTAAGACTAACTCTCGATTCCATCAGCTGTGATTCAAACTCGTGTTCCCAGAGCATTAGCCTGAGCCTCTCGATTGCTCGCCCGGTATTGTGAAAACCACAGCAATATCTCCCTGAGTTTACGTCCTATGTAAACATATATTACTATTTTCTTGCTCATTTTCATTTCCTGGTTAAAAGTTCAGACATAAACTGCTGCAGAGGCGCCTGACTCAGCATTATTATCCAACCACCACCCCCCAAGCATTTAGAAAAAACTAACATTTCTATCCAAAACGAAAGCACTTTTCCTCACCCTGTAACCTGCAGATGAGGAGATTATCTCCATTACTCACCCAATGCTATTTACTGTTCAGTGTTCGCACTCAGCCGAGATTGTTTTGTCGCTGTGGGCCCTTCACTTCGTCGGCGCTGCTTGATGACGACAGGAGTTGTCTTTTCTTTTTCTGATATAGAACTTTTCGAAAAAAATCGTCTCACCGCAAAAAATCTCACGACGTGAAAACCTAGACACTGCTATCTCGTTTTGGTATTCATTAATAGGCCGCCGGGCTGTTTGACAGCTCTAATTCTGTAGGCCTTTTATCAGGCGGTAGGCGTCTGTCTCCTTCTCTCTCAAGATGCCTCCTAAGGGAAAGGCAAAGGGTGGGAAAGGTGTGTTGAGTTTAAACATTGTCTAACCGTATCATCGCTCGGATTGAAGTCTAGATGTTGTAGTTGTGCAAATATAAATTCAAAAGGATGGACATGGATGTTAGTATCAATCGTGATTATTTCACTTGTTCCTAACAGCGAATGTTGCTCACGTAAATGAAGCCTGGGAGGTGAATATTGGGTAACAAAAGGAGAAATTGGTTCAACAATGTTTACAATTGATGTTGGACTAAAGCTTAGGCCCAAAGGGACGTTTATGTATTTCAGATACAAAGCCTGACTTTAATGATTTGGTCTAATTTTCCCACTCATTGGTAACACTGTGTTTGCAGAGATTGCTGATTTACAGCAGCCAGTATACTAACTAAGAGGAAATTGTATTCTGCTTTCTAAATAACATATACTGTTATGTAGACATGCACACACTGGAAATAGTTAGTTAAAGGGTTAATCTTATTTTAGGCTGCAGTTTTGAGGAAGTGTCACTGGACCTGAAACATTAACTCTGATTTTTCTTCACAGATGCTGCCAGGCCTGCTGAGTGTTTCCAGCAACTTCTGTTTTTGTTCCTGATTTACAGCATCTGCACTTCTTTTGGCTTTTAATCTTATTTTAGGGACTAAATTGTGCAGCTATTAATGCAACACATTTGTACTTTTCATTGTAAAATGAGCATGTGGCAGATTATTTCACAGGGATGCAACGTTTGGAGCAGCTCGTGGTGGAGTCCACAAGGGAACAGGCAATACTGGATTTAGTGTTGTGCACTGAGGCAGACTTGATAAGGGACCTTAAGGTAAAGGAACCCTTAGGAGGCAGTAATCATAAGATGATAGAATTTACTCTGCAATTTGAGAGAGAGAAGATAGAATCAGAGGTAACGGTATTACAGCTTATTAAAGGCGACGAAAGAGGTATGAGGGAGGAGCTGGGCAGAATTGACTGGAAGAGGAGCTTAGCAGAAAAGACAGTGGAACAGCAATGGCAGGATTTTCTGGGAGTAATTCAGGAGGCACAGCAAAAATTCATCCCGAGGAAAAAGAAGCATGGTACAGGGAGGATGAGGCAACCATGGCTGACTAAGGAAGTCAGGGATAGCGTAAAAGCAAAAAGAGAAAGCATATAATGTGGCGAAGGGCAGTGGGAAACTAGAGGACTTGGAAGCTTACAAAGACCAATAGAGGGCAACCAAAAAAGAAATAAGGAGAGAGAAGATTAAATATGAGGGTAAGCTAGCCAGTAATATAAATGAAGACTAAGAGTTTCTTTAGGTATATAAAGGGCAAAAGAGGACATTGGACCACTAGAAAATGACGCTGGAGAGATAGTAGTGGAGAACAAGGAAATGGCTGAGGAACTGAGTAATTACTTCACGTCAGTCTTCACGGTGGAAGACATGAGTAATATCCCAAAAATTCAAGAGAGTCAGGGGGCAGAGCTGAGTATGGTGGCCATCACCAAGGAAAAGGTGCTAGTAAAACTGATTGGCCTGAAGATGGATAAATCAGCTGGACCAGATGGACTACACCCCAGAGTTCTAAAGCTGAACAGATAGTGGAAGCGTTAGTGGTGATCTTTCAGGAATTGCTAGAGTCAGGGAGGATCCCAGAGGACTGGAAAATCGCTAACGTGACACCCCTGTTTAAAAAGGGAGTAAGGCAAAAGACAGAAAATTACAGGCTGATTAGCCTAACCTCAGTCATGGGTAAGATTTTGGAGTCCATTGTAAAGGATGAGATTTCTGAATATTTGGAAGTGAATAGTGAAATAGGGCAAAGTCAGCATGGTTTCATCACGGGGAGGTCATGCCTGACAAATCTGCTAAAATTCTTTGAGGAAGTAATGAGCAGGGTAGACCAACGAGAGCCAATGGATGTTATCTACCTGGACTTCAAGAAGGCCTTTGATAAGGTGCCACACAGGAGGCTGCTGAGTAAGATAAGGGTCCACAGTGTTAGAGGCAAGGTGCTAGCATGGATAGAAGATTGGCTGGCTGGCAGAAAGCAGAGAGTGGGGATAAAGGGGTCTTTCTCAGGATGGCAGCCGGTGACTAGTGGAGTTCCGCAAGGGTCAGTGTAGGGACCACAACTTTTCACTTTATACATTAGTGATCTAGATGAAGGAACTGTGGGCATTCTGGCTAAGTTTGCAGATGATACAAAGTTAGGTGGAGGGACAGGTAGTATTGAGGAGGTGGCGAGGCTGCAGAAGGATTTGGACAGGTTAGGAGTGTGGGCAAAGAAGTGGCAGATGGAGAAATGTGGAAAAGTGTGAGGTCATGCACTTTGGTAAGAAGAATAAAAGCATGGACTATTTTCTAAATGGGGAGTAAATTCAGAAGACTGAAGTGCAAAGAGACTTGGGAGTTCTAGTCCAGGATTCTCTCAAGGTAAACTTGCAGGTTGAGTCAGTAGTCAGGAAGGCAAATGCAATGTTGGCATTTATTTTCAGAGGACTTGAATATAAAAGCAGGGATGTACTACTGAGGCTTTATAAGGCTCTGGTCAGGCCACATTTGGATTATTGTGTGCAGTTCTGGGCCCCATATCTCAGGAAGGATGTACTGGCCCTGGAGCGGGTTCAGAGGAGGTTTATGAGAATGGTCACAGGAATGGAAAGCTTAACATATGAGGAACGTTTGCGGACTCTGGGACTATACTCATTGGAGTTTAGAAGGATGAGGTGGGATCTAATTGAAACTTTCAGAATACTGAATGGCCTGTACAAAGTGGATGTTGGGAAGATGCTTCCGTTGGTAGGAGAGTCCGGGACCCGAGGGCACAGCCTTCGAGTAAAGGGAAGACCTTTTAGAATGGAGATAAGGAGAAACTTCTTCAGCCAGGGAGTGGTGAATCTATGGAATTCACTGCCACAGAAGGCTGTGGGGGCCAGGTCAATGAGTACATTTAAGACTGAGATAAATAGGTTCTTGATTATCAAGGGGATCAAGGGTTACGGGGAGAAAGCAGGAGAATGGGGTTGAGGAACTTATCAGCCATGATTGAATGGCGGAGCAGACTCAATGGGCCGAATGGCCTAATTTCTGCTCCTATGTCTTATGGTCTTATGATATGCTGTCTAGTTACATAGATCAGAAAATTTCCAAAGTTTCTTCCTTGACCTGATTTTGCAGTAGGGTAGGTGATAAGATTTGCTCAGGTGCCCTTCAATTAGAAGCTGGGAAATACTGGGCAAAGTTTCTACCTCTGAATCAAAAACAGAGATTGCAGGTGAAACTCCAGGTCTGGCAGCATCTGTTGGGAGAAAGCAGAGTTAAAATTTTTAGTGCAGTGACTCATCACCAGAACTTCTCCAGCGTCCACAGTTTTTAGTTTTATTTCATCCACTTCTGAATGCCCACTCCCAGAAAATGCCATGCTAGATATGGGTCAAAGTTAGGGGTTTGTGACTCCTCATAGACAAGTTGCCCGGTCACATTCCCTGTTTGGTGTCACACATTAAGAGTCACCACTCAAAATATATAACATTAGACTGTCATCATCCACAGAATTGTACCTCTATATCAATGATATCTTCTCCAGTCCAGCAACATCCCCGAGTCAATCATTGGATCTTGTGTGAGATTGCAGACTTGCTCGCCAAGCCGGTGTGTTTGATTGCAGACATTCCATCACCCTGCGAGGTAACATCGTCAGTGTGCCTCCGGTAAAACATTGGTGTTCTGTCCCGCTTGTTAATTGTATGCCTTGGTTTGCTGGGGTGGTTGGCATTACTGCCAGTTTTGTTCTTCAGTGGGTTGTATATCAGGTCCAGTTCAATGTGTTTGTTAACAGAGATCCGCTTGGAATGCCAGGCCTCCAGGAATTCCCTGGCATGTCTCTGTTTGGTTTGTGCTATTATCGATGTGTTGTCCTGGTCAAATTCGTGTTCTTCTTTGTCCGTGTGTATTGAGATCAATGAGAATTGGGTGTGTCTCTTGGTGGCTAGTTGGTGTTCGTGCATCCTTATTGCCAGTTTTCTTCCAGTTTGGCCTATGTAATGTTTCTCACAGTCCTTGCATGATATTTTGTATATTACGTTAGTTTTGTTGGTTGTGGGTGTGGGGTCCTACATATTTGTCAGTAGCTGTCGCAGGGTGGTTGTTGGTTTGGGGGCTAATCTGATACCTCGGGGTCTGCGCAGTCTTGTGGTCATCTCTGATATGTCCTTTATGTACGGTAGGGTGACTGGTGTGTCTGGCTGTGTTATGTCTTCTTGTTGCGGTCTGTCGTGGAGGTAATGGTGGATTGTGCTTCTTGGGTATCC